CAGGACAACGGGGCGGGGCGGGTACGGGTTTCGTGATACCCGTCCCCGTCCCCGCGACTGAAACTCATACCTGTCCCCGTCCCCATACCCGGTGGGTATGGAATTTTTATCCCATCCCCGTCCCCGTCGGGTATCGGGTATACCCGTACCCGTACCCGTTAAAATTTATTTTTTTTACAAATTTTTTTCAACTTATCTTTATAATCCCAAAATTCCACAAATCTGACAGGAACGAATTAAAAATCTAAACCTAAATCCAGAAAATGATGAATCCAGAAAAAGCAAAAGCCACAAAGCAAAATAATGGAGGAATAGAAAAAGGTAGGGAACGAATCGAAATTGGACGAAAGAGGCAACAGAAGGAGCACCTTGTGAAAGGAGAGGTCATACAGATGTTTGTGGGCCTATGAAAATTCAAGCCAAAGGAGGATATTCTTATTTTATCGCCTTCACTGATGATATGTCTAGATACGGTTTTGTGTATCTCATGAAACATAAATCCGGATCATTTGAAATGTTCAAAATATTTCGTAGTGAAGTTGAAAAACAAACTGGTAAGAATGTTAAGGTGTTAAGATCTGATAGAGGAGGAGAATATCTTAGTAATGATTTTCTTGATCATCTAAAAGAGAATGGGATTCTCTCACAGTGGACACCTCCAGGAACACCACAACACAATGGTGTATCTGAAAGAAGAAATCGGACCTTATTAGATATGGTAAGATCGATGATGGGGTTCACTGATCTTCCAATTAACTTATGGGGTTACGCATTAGAATCATCGGCATATTTGTTAAATAAAGTTCCCACAAAATCACTCTCAACAACACCATATGAGATATGGAAAGGGCGTAAACCAAACCTTAAGCATATTAAAGTTTGGGGTTGTCACGCCTATGTTAAGAAATTGCAAATAGATAAACTTGAAGCAAGATCACAAAAGTGTCGTTTCATTGGGTATCCTAAAGAAACAATGAGATATTATTTTTTCCACCCTTTTGACCATAAAGTGTTTGTGGCAAGAGGAGCAACCTTTTTGGAAAGGGAATTTCTTGCAGAAGGCTGTCATGGGAAGGAAATAGATCTTGATGAGATTCAAGAAGCCAGTGAAACAACTAATGCTCAAGAACATGAGATGGAAAATGAGCAACCTTTCTTTGATGTTTTGAAATTAATGCAAAGGTTACCTTCTTCAACAAATTTGGTTGAAGAACCAACTATAGTTCAAGAACAAGTTAATGAACCAACTTTAGAACAAGATCAACAACCTCTTAATGAAGTACAAAGGGATTGTACAATTCAAGTGCCTCTTAGAAGGTCTAGTCGTGAACATCGTGCACCAAATAGATTGAATTTATTAGTCCATGATGACACGACATATGAGGTTGATCATAGTGATGATGACCCTAATAGTTATGAAGAGGCTATAAGAAGCTTGGACCATGAGAAGTGGCGTGAAGCCATGGAATCCGAGATGGAATCAATGAAGATCAACAAAGTATGGACTTTAGTTGAAGCTTCAAAAGATATAAAACCAATAGGTTGTAAATGGGTTTACAAGAAAAAGATTGGAGCAGATGGAAAGGTTGAGACCTACAAGGCTCGCCTTGTTGCCAAAGGATATCGTCAAAAGGAAGGAATAGATTATGACGAAACTTTTTCTCCTATGGCGATGCTCAAATCAATTCGGATTCTACTTGCTATAGCGGCATACTATGATTATGAAATATGGCAAATGGATGTAAAAACAACTTTTCTTAATGGTGAGCTAAAGGAAGATGTGTACATGACACAACCTGAAGGATTCATAACCTCTTCTGATCACCATAAGGTTTGTAAGCTAGAAAGGTCCATTTATGGATTAAAACAAGCTTCTAGAAGTTGGAACATTCAATTTAACAAAACAATTAAAAATTTTGATTTTGTTAGATGTGAAGAGGAACCTTGTGTTTACAAAAGGGTTAGTGGGAGCACAATTATCTTTTTGATGCTATACGTGGATGACATATTGCTTATTGGAAATGACATACCATCTTTGCAAAGTACAAAGATTTGGCTGTCTGAACAATTCTCTATGAAGGATTTAGGAGAGGCAGCATATATTCTAGGAATAAAGATTTATAGAGATAGATCTAAAAGAATGCTTGGACTCTCCCAATCTATGTATATAAATACCATTTTAAAGAGGTATAATATGGAGAATTCCAAAAGGGGATATTTGCCAATAGGAACAGGAGTTACTCTCAGTAGGGAAGATTGTCCTAAAACCCTTGAAGAGAGAACACGCATGAATAGGGTGCCATATGCTAGTGCAGTGGGAGCTATCATGTACATAATGACTTGTACATGTCCTGACATCGCTTTTGCACTAGGAGTAGTTAGTCGATATCAAGCAAACCCTGGTGAGGAACATTAGAAAGTGGTTAAGACCTTTCTTAAGTACTTAAGAAGAACTCAAGATCAATTCCTCATTTATGGTGGCACTGAACTAATGTTGAAAGGCTATACCGATGAAAGCTTTGCATCGGATAAAGATGACAGTAAATCTATTTCAGGTTATGTTTTCACCTTATATGGTGGTGCAGTGAGTTGGAAAAGTTCCAAGCAAGCTACGGTTGCAGATTCAACAACTGAAGCAGAGTATATAGCTGCAAGTGATGCTGCTAAAGAAGCGGTTTGGATGAAGAAATTTATAACTGAGCTTGGTGTGGTTCCTTCAATAGAAGAACCCATTTCGCTATTGTGTGATAATAATGGAGCTATTGCTCAAGCAAAAGAGCCGAGATCACATCAAAAATCTAAACACATCTTGAGAAGATATCACTTGATTAGAGAAATCATTGAACGTGGTGACGTTAAGATTTTAAAGGTAGATGGAAAGAAGAATGCAGCAGATCCATTCACCAAGGCACTTGGCATCAAGGAGTTTGATAAACACAAGTGGGAGGTTGGAATGAAGTACATGACAGATTGGCTCTAGGGCAAGTGGGAGATTGTTGGGAATAAGATGTATGCCCAAGATCCAATCTATCTTATATGCATTAATAAGATTGTACTTTATTTTCATGTTTATTGATTATGAGAAATAATTAATATGATAAAGTCCTTGATTACAATTAAAGACTTCTTTTTTTATAATAGAGATTATAATAATGAGAAAAACAAGTCCTTTTTAATTTTAATCTAAATTGTTCTTGATCGTAGGATTATTGAGGATAGGACATCATTAATCCACATAGATCAATATATGTGTAATAGTCTTTATTGGATAGAGATTAATAGATCTCATTTATTAAATTACTCATATAAATAGTGCATATAGGGATATGACTATTGAACAGACTCTATAAAGGAAAATTCCTAATGGTTATGTATTACCTTAAAATTTTGTCAATAGGAAATTCTTAAGAAGAAATATATAATTTCCTTAGACTTGAGATTATCATAATAATTAACAAGATATTTATTATACTTTGATTTCGGACACCTAATACCTAAAGGTGTTAGTTGAATGATTATTGGGTGTAATTAAATTCTTGTAGAATTAAATGATTAATCAAGAAGGGATCCATCAACTCTTGGTAATGAGTTTGAGCTTTATAATGAAAATAAGGACCTTGGCCAAGGCAATTGAAATAATAAAGAAAAAAGAGTTTTTCTTGTATTTTTCATTATATGTTAACTGATTAGAATTTGACAATTAAACCATATTCTAAAAGATAATTTAGAGCTGTAAAATGATGGAAGGAAATTTTATGTTAATCTTCTAAAAGGTTCTTGAAAATATTATTTCATACTATCCGGATGTTAAGCAGTATTGCTAGACGCCAACCTTGATTAGTAAATTAATGTAGTTAATTTACTACCGGTTTAGTTTTGAACCTACAGGGTCACACAGTAACGAGTGTTCTAATCTTTGCTCAAGAAAATTTATTATTTGATAATTAAATTAAAGAATTTGATTTTACCAAATAATTATTTTCTTATAAATAAAATATTATTTATTTATTTTTGACTAGCATCAAAATATAAATAGTATTTGTTTCTATTAAGATAGAAAAGCACGTCAGTTTTTCAATTTCAAATTGAAAGATTCAATTTGAATTTTGACCTAGTCAAAAGTGGTTTTAATAAGAAAAGATAAAAATTAATTTCTTTTGGATATTTGATAATTCCTATTTTTTAGAAGATAGGATATGGAAGTTGTTGCTAAGTAAATAGATATGTTTACATATTTATAAATATACAGCTCCACTGTGGAAAAAAATACACAGAGAGGAGGCTAGTTTATTCATTTATTAGTAGATGATCCATGGGATATTCTTTGACCTACTTCACCTAGCCATTCTACACTTGCCTGGTGTTAAGTTATTGAAGTCTTGTTCATTGAACTTACATGAAGCCTTCCCCTTTCGCTTATGGAATAGTCGCGAATTCCAACTCTCTTTCGTTTTCTTCTTTTTTCCGCTCGAATTATTTCTTTTCGAATGCACATTTATTTAGCGTCTTTTTAATTGCCAATTTAGTAATTCTTCCATCACTTGCCGCTTCTAATTTCCATTTGCAGGATCCGCCTTAGCTTCGCTCTCGCGATTTTCTCTGCTTTTTAATTAATGTTTTCTCTGTAATCTTTTTTTGCCACTTTCTCCGCTTTAGTGTCTTAATTTGTGCATTCTTACTTAGCAATGAAAGTCCATGAGTTTTACTGTGAATTCACTTAAATTACTGCAAATTGTATGAAAAATGAAGAAAGAAGGAAAGAGGGAGAAAACCTTATGTTTATATTTGAATTTAATGGCAAATTCAATTTTATCTTATTTCTTTGGCCTTCTCTGTAATGATGGATCTTTAGAGCGAAATTTTGTAATTGAACCGGAAGAATCTTAAGACTGTGTCTTGGTTTTATGGTCAAACTTTGACGTGGCTGAAAGCTTGCCTTGTTTATTTACTTGTTCAATGTCTTGTTGTGTGGTTGGTGCTCTGCAGGTGGAGGCGATATTGGACAAGGAGAACTTCACTTTGGAAGAAATTCTCGATGAAGAGGAAATAATCCAAGAATGCAAGGCCTTAAACAGTCGTCTCATTAACTTGTATGTTCCTAATCAGTTTGAAATAAAGGGTTTTACTTTTTTTCCTGCTCATAACTTTTTGGTTTTTGACAAGTCCACTGAATTGATTGATCCATCTAGCTGTCCCTACCTCATGGGAACTAAGGCTATTGTCTTCGATTTTTTTTTACTTTCAGTTTGAGAGATAGAGCTCAGGTTGAGCAATTGCTACGCTACATCATTGAAGAACCACCAGAGGATGCTGAAAACAAACGGATCTTCAAGTATGCATTTGCAACTGAAAATTTGTTGCAGAAGAGCTATATATTTCAATGTTTCAACTTTCTTGTTTCCCTTTTATCATCTAATCATTGGTCTGTGATTTAGGTTTCCATTCATTGCCTGTGAGATCTTTACATGTGAAATTGATGTAATTTTGAAGACCTTGGTGGATGAAGAAGAGGTTTGTAGTATATTTTATTTTCATTTCATACTTTGAGTCTTGTTTGAAGTCCTATAGTAATGCTTTGCTTGTATTATTTTCTGCTTACTATTCTTGTTATTGCAGCTCATGAACTTATTATTCTCCTTCTTGGAGCCTGATCGATCTCATAGTACCTTACTGGCCGGGTACTTTAGCAAGGTATATGCTGGAATTTTTAGTCTGACACATTGAAGACATTAGTTATATGGTTGTATTAAAACCATTTGCTCTGATAATTTGTGTTCAATTTTTCAGGTTGTCGTTTGCTTATTGATACGAAAGACAGTACCACTTATGAATTATGTTCAAGTAAGTAAACCAATGTGTTTTTATAGTGTGTTTCTGTATTGGGTTATTTTAATAATTGATTATAAGAAATAAGTTTTATGTATGGATATGTTAGGTGAAAAGTGGTTTTAAGATTATTTCATTTGGATTTGTGTAAATTAAAATAATCTGTTTTTTTAAAAGTAACGTTATGAAAAATGGGTAGAGTTATTTGTAGTAGTTGGTTTTGTATTTAAATTAAATTAATCAATTGTTGAGGATAAAATGCCAAAATAAAAGTTAACTGATAAATAATTTGTTAGCTTTTAAATAACCTGCAAAATTTTGTTTATCATAAAAAACCTTATTTCCTTTGTTGAGAGAGTATGATCTTTTGATTATAAATCCAAATTACCTAACACATTTAAATAGTAACACTCAACTGTTTTCCCATCATTCAAATTAGTATATATAAAATTAATCCCATCCAAATACATGCATAGCAGAATGTTTTTTTTTAATATGATTTATACAATTTTAAGGAGACAGTAAAGTACTACCAGATATAAAACTTATTCATTTTGTTCTAAGCATCACTCTGTGAAGCAGTTGGGAGTCTATTTTACAACTAAGCTCTATAATATGTGATCCTATTCTACTTGTGATATCTTCCATTCATTATTTTGGTTACTTTTTGCAGGCCCATCAACATGTTTTTCGCCAACTGGTAGATTTGATAGGCATTACATCCATTATGGAGGTAAACATCTATCTAGTAGTTTTAATATTATTGAAATCTTGCTAATATGATTTGCTAGAATGAGCCCTAAATTAAGTTCTTTGCACAGGTTTTGGTTCGATTAGTTGGTGCTGATGACCACGTATATACCAATTTTATAGATGTGATGCAATGGTTGGCTGAGAGCAACCTGCTAGAGATGATTGTCGATAAATTAAGTCCATCTGTAAGTGAAACGTCCACATTCTGTGTTTATAGTTTTTCAATCAGATGTTGCTAATTAGCTGTATGTTGCATATGCACCTTGTTGCAAAAGCAAACTTAAGAGAGTTTACCATGTTTTGTAGGAGGCTAGTTTATTCATTTATTAGTAGATGATCCATGGGATATTCTTTGACCTACTTCACCTAGCCATTCTACACTTGCCTGGTGTTAAGTTATTGAAGTCTTGTTCATTGAACTTACATGAAGCCTTACTCTTGAATATAGGCCGCTTCTAGCAAATGCTGAAGATGCAGAAAGCAAGCCAAAATATGTGCATTTGCAGACAACTTCATCCTCCTTAAATTGGCTAGGTGATAGATAACAGTAGTAAGCATGAAGCATCTTTGTATATGGTACTAATTAATAATATGTGCTCTAGTAGTCTTTTTGGCTGCCAAAAGTTAATAGTTCTTGATATTTGATACTAATTATTTATTAGACAGTAATTTTAGTCTTTTAGATAGTGCATGCAGCATAATTAGAGCACAAGTAACGTGCTCTATATAATTTTTTTGGTCTTTGTGTAGTTTTATGCTATGTGTAAGTGTAAATGTCACAAATTCTTGTAACAAGAAATCAAAATTTATGTTCGTGGGAATTCATACTTTTGAGTTATTAATTAATATCTACAGCTTCATTTTCCTCTGAAGTGAAAAGTTTCAAACTATAAAACAATCTTCTATCAGCTCCTCTTTTTCCATTGAACAACAGAAAGTAACTATTTATAAGGGAATGAATGGTTATTTTGATTCATTAGAAATTGAATAGGAAAGGAAATTTCTCTAACTTAAAGATGAATAAACCTCAATTCAAAGTATTATGTTTCATTTTGGATTGACCTCCTTCATCAAGCGTGTAAAGATATTGCCATATCTTTATCATCTTTGGTTTTGTTTATTGACTGCTCCTAAACACGGTCTGTTACAATTTACAAATTGTTGCTGGCTCCTGATAAATCACTTGCTACTTTGTGCACAAAATTGTTGTGAAATATGTTAAATTTTTACGGCTAATAATCATTTCAAGTTTAAAAATCTTGTGACTCCAATTGGATGCTACTGCTTAAGTACAAAGTTGTTTTAACTTACACATCCCAATGTATTTCATTATATGCAATCCTTGAAATTCTTTTATCTAAGAGCAAGAAAAGGAATTTGGTTCCACCAGCTATTTAGTAGTGGATAGATTGTATTTCACTGCATCTTTAACATGAAAGCATATGAATGAGAGGGGAACTTTACTTTTATATTTTGCCCTGCATCTATTATATTTGCCTATTCTGAATTTGTCGTTTGAGCACTCAAGGATGCAGCTTTTACTGTTTCTCTTGTTTTACCTGCTGAGGTTTAGCATATCGGTGTTATGCAAGTTTATTTGATTTTTGTGAGACTGTATTTTAAATAGGTTGCTATCTACTGCATGAAGTAGATGAAGCAGGGGAAAACTCTTGAAGTGGAAGAATTGCTTTTTTGGTATTAAGAATGTAGTTTATAGCCTAATTCGACCTTATAAAATTGACTATACATTTTTACAGCTCTCCTCATGCCGAGTGTTATACATCTCGAATATGAAATTTGTACGACTAGATATTTATAGATGATTTGATAACGACCCAATAGTAGATGGTCTAATAAGTCCACCAACAATTGTCAAACTCCGATACTATTTTAAAAAAGTGATTTTGAGACTAATTTAATTTTATAAAATCAGCTTGTAAAATAAGAATTGTTTCTTACTTACATACATTATTATTGTCTCATTTCTAGTTAATGTAAGATCTCTAATACCTGGATTTAATATAATTTATAAAACCCATAATTGCTTCTCATAGAGATTTTTCTTGATATTGGGCAGTGGGTTGGTCTTTCAAGCCTATAGGAGTGCATAACATGTTCTAATATTATTTTTTCTTAACATTTGCATATTGTGAAGCTGGTCTGACCTTAATTTCTGCATATTGTGTTTAGTGTAAATCTTGTCTGAATAGATTACTAAACCAATGAACTTTGAAAAACAAAGACATTATCACTTTTTATTAAATAATCATACTAGTCTTTGTGATTGTGTTACTGGATAATTCATTTATTAATTATTTATTGTTTAGTCTACCTAACCTAACTTGCTTAATCGGTTATTGCACAAGACAACATGTCATTCTGCAACAGGGTTTTGATTTTCTGTTTTTGGTTAACATCTATGACTTTGGACTTAAGGCAATTATCAACTTGGGCTTGACTTTGAATGTTGGTTAAATATCAGAATAACGCTAATAAATATCTGGATGCAAAAAAAATTTAGTGATTGGTCTCCAAATGAAAATGTAGTTAATGTTGGAAATGTGGTATAACTATAAGAGAAGAATAATTATTAACTTACAAGTTAATTTTATAGGATTAAGTATTTGAGTTAGACCCATAATCATATTCTTAAGATTGTATAACAGTCAAATCCACTTTTCAAAGATTCTAAAGATTATTGTTTAATCTATAGTGTTGTCCATTATTAAATTGCTATAAGACCACTTGTAAATGTTCTGCTCTATAATTTTTATACTTGAGATGTTCAATTCTTAACATGAGGAACTGAGTTAAAAATCTCTCATCGACTATGATACAACTAACTATAAATGATGAGTAATTCTTGTCATCCAAACTGATTGTGTAAGGATGAGTTTGGCTTTGTAAACACAATCTTAAGATGGTATTAATACCCAGATCCACTTCCTAAGAGTTAACTAATCCAAATAAATACATTTTCAAATACTTTGACTCTTTTTTATGTGTTACAGACTAGGATAATCTGCATGACAGTTCTCATGAAAGTCTTGACAGAAGTTAACATCACTAGCCGCTAGCAATGTGATGGATTGAAGCATCTCATATGAAAAATGAGCAAATAAGGGACCCCTCAGTATTGTTTACTTGACTCAATGTTCACCTACGTGAAAAAATGGGCATTGCAGAATGCTCAATCAAGAATCATTGCCACCATGCATCCCCCAAAAAAGGAGAAAAAAAAAATCACTGCCGTCAGACCGAAAATTTGTATGAATTTAGCAACAATAATGTGTGATACTGTGATGTATGTTCAGTCAAAATACTGGACCATATTGCAGCGGAGAATCACGAATGTGATCAATTTCATTTCCACTCGGATCAACATGTTGATATTCAATATCATATTATGAAAAAACAATTCAGTCCTTGACTTTGGCAGCTCGCTGAATTAGGCCGTTAGTTAACTTACTTTTTTGTATTATTAGGAATTAAATTAAACAGTGATGCTAATTTTAATTTTTAAACACCAAATTAATGCTTCAGTTTACCCGAAACATTTTAGCTTTATCCTGAATTTTCAACAATGTTACATGCCTGGCTTCCATCGAAACAACTTAGAGTACATTGATCACTGAATTCAAAAGAGCTATCGGCGGTCAGAGTAGGGAAGAGGTAGTAATTTAGAAGTGTATCTCGTGCTTCTAGAGCAATTAGTGAATATAGCAAGTTATATGAATTTCTAGAGAGCACTATGAGTTTGGAAGCAAATGATAGATTCATTCTAAAGTGATAACTTGCAAACATTGTGGATAATTTTGAACTAGGAACTATGGACACACATATGTATGGCTAGGATACAACCATAAGTGAATATAACAAATTATAATTATAAATTTGTTTGGATAAATTATTCAATTTTATGCTATACATAAGTTATCTATAAGAAACTACTAAATGGAAGTTATAAAAAATTACAAAGATTTTTTAATGTATAATAACTGTCAACTATTTTATTAATATGAATAGTTATACAAAAACACAACTAATAAAAAAAAGAAAAAAATATATAAATAATGTGCTAAGGAAATCCAATAGTTTACTAATTTTTAAATATTTTATGTTAACATGTTATTATGGAGATTAGAGACAACTTATTTAGTAAAAAAATTTGGTGTTTGACACGTATTCGTGAGAAAAAAAAAAAAATGGGGCCATGAACAGTTACATTATTGTGAACAGCGGGCTTGACAATACATGTGACAGAGAAAAAAAACTAGTGTTAGGAAACAATGAGAATTGATTATTCCTATTAATATCATGGTGTATGAAAGCGACTATTTGTTTTCATTCTTTTGGTGTGCTCCACGTAATCGCTTTTGGTGCACTCTCAAACATCCTATTTATGTTGAATTTCTATACGAGTGAAAATCAATCAACTTATACATATTAGCTTTTGAAAAAGTTTAATGAAATAATTTCTTTAAAAATTAAGTGTATAAGTTGATTTTAGCTTATATGAAGTTTAATTTAATTTATTTTCTTGTTTTTTAAAATATGTTTATGAAAAAAATATCTCCGAAACAAGACCATAGTAAAACACTTTCAAATTAAGACACAACTCATAAAATTACCATAGTATTGAGATTAAATTATACATCTTAAATTAGAATAAAAACTTTAATAATTTACTCATCAATATTAGTTATAGAAAATATAATGAAATATTATACCATTTTTGTATTTTTTAATCATCGATATTTATTTTTAATTTTTATAGGTGGTGATAAAAGGTTTATGTAAATATAGACACTAAAAAAATTATGCAACTATAGGAATTAAAAAAAGGTTTATGCTATTATAAAGACTAAAAAATGGCATATATAAATACTAAAATAGAAAATTATAATTAGAGATATAAAAGGGTAAAATTTATAAAATTGTAAAAAAAAAAATTCTTAAATATCGAATAGTTGGAGTATAGTCAACACACTACAAAAAATATTATATATAATGACATATAAAAAGTGTCATTAGGTACAATATATGTATATATATATTTGACAAATAGTTACATATAATTTTAGTGTTGATTTTGAATGAGATTTAACAATATATTTTGTGTGTCACTATAATCTATATCCATAATTTTTGACAATATACCAACATATATTATATTTATTATGTGAGTAAAAATAATTTTTAATAAAATATATTATATTACTATAGGATGCGTGACTTGACAATTTTCTTATAGTGACGGACCTACTTAAAAAAATAAAGTTCTTTTATTAGTTTTTTTTTTCCTAGGATTTAAATCGAAGAACTTGGTAAATTTTTACTTAAGTACTTTTCTACTTAAATACAAAATTTAAAATAAAGACATTACTAATAAATGCCTTAAACAGACTTAAGAATTAAACATCAAATATACTTATTAAATATCTTTAGTTACATGAGTAATAATAATAATATTTTTTTAGTCAGTGCTATAAAACCAATCGATAACATTTTTTTGAAACAAAATACTTCAGAAATACTTTTTCCCTCTCTAAAATTGGTGACAACAAAATTATAATTTAAAAACTTATGTATATTATTCAAATACATAATTATGCCGACATTTGTTTGAGGCATAATCTAAAAACGTTTAATTAATTATATCCAACAAAAAAAAAATTGTTTTATTACGGATGTCTATCCACTGCAAGAGACTAATCCAACTCAATATACTTGTGATATTAATATCGAAAATATTATATTTTGTGGTGTTAATTAGTACCACGGGCATGTTAATGTTAACAATTTCTAAAGTTTTTTTTTATTAATATGAAAATGACAGTTCCGGCCATACCATTTTTCGTACGTCATTAATTTTTCCAGTGGTGATCAATTAATATCCTCGTTCATCTCAGGATACGTTGTTCATCAGCATTGTTATTTCGGTTCATAGAGGGCATAACAGTATATAACACTAAACACCAATGCTACTACAAGTGTTTGGTCCCAAAACATGTTTGATAAGAAGAACAAAAGAACCCACAAGAGGGTAGATATAAGATGTGAATTTATGTTTTCCAACAAAGTCTTCTTTGATACGCACATACAGGTAATGAATCGAATCCAGTGACGTTAATATACAGTGTAAGTAGTTGATGATTCTGGGTCGAATTAATGGGTCATGATCCTCGATCGCACCCCAATGTGGTACACAACTAGTGAATAGTGTGTCAATAGTCAATGTTCATCAACCAAGGGTTTGGAAGTTTTGGTCAAGTCTGAAGAATGTGCTTGATCACTGTCCTCTCCTCTTTCACACCCATCTCTGTACCCTGTGCCTTACGACGTGGTTTCTCACTCTTTAGATCAAAGACCATCCAAAAGACTCATGAACTTCACATTTATTAAGCTGGTGGAGGCATCAAGACCAACTTTTCATTGTTGAATTTGGCAATTAATTAAAGATCAAGAAAGGATATGGATGACACCATGTCAAGAGGTGCCGTATTATATTCATAAGGCACTTATAATACAAGGACACGTGTTGTTATAATGCTGTAGTACGACCATTCAACTTATGATTATTATTCATTTGCACATTCCTTGCATGGCAGGACAAGTGCTGATGACGAAAGCTAGCTAGGTAGGGACTACACAATTGCAATTTTTTGACTGTTTTTAGATGTTTTTTTTTCATCAAGTTATTGGGGGCTTATTCCTTATTTTTGTGGACAACTAATGTCTATAAAAAGAACTTGATTGAGAATTCTTCTTTTCAATCACGAATTTTTTATTCGTAAGATTTGAATTCATGATATAAATAAGAGGATTGAGTTCAATATTAAGATCAACAACTTGTTAATCAAGGTGTGTGCAAGATTTAATTTTTTAAAAATATTACATCATATCGCATTGTATATCATTTTATCCAACTGAACTGATTTATGAATCATTTGAATCACATTAATAAATCGGTTCAAAATCGAATTATTTTTATAAACAAGTTTAAAACTAAACAAAATTAATTTTGAAATAGTTTTAAGAACTAAACTAGTTTTAAATTGGTTAATTAAGAAAAAATATTTTTTTTAGAAATTGATGCAATCTTTAGGAACAACTTAAAATCCGTTTACCAACTAGACATCTAACTCTGAACACTAATTAAATGAACAAACACATAAAAAAGTATAAAATTGTTTATTTTGTTAAAAAAAATTAAAAGAAAAAAGTTTAAACAAATGAATCTATAGAAGTCAACTTAAAAGCATTAAAAAATTATAATTATCATTTACAAAATTAATTGTGAAGCATGATTTAATAATTCATATTTACTTTAATAGTCTAAAGACAACCATAAATTTTAAAATACACACACAAATACAAAATGACCATAAGTGACACTCAAACACTTTATGTGTGATTATATATCATTAAAAATGTAAGATATAAGAGATATAAGTAAATTATTTAATTTTAATTTTATTTTATTTCATTATTTTAGTAAATGATACACTAGTGCTTCAAACCTAATTACCAATATAGTTTAGTTTTTAAAATCCATTTGATCTAAACAATACATATTGGTTTTCTTAAAAAAAATTAGTTATATTTTTATTTTAAATGATATTGCTTGGTTTCAAATTTGAACGGGATCATTTGGATTTTTTTTTTTTTTGAACACCCTAATTGTTAATGCAACATTTCATTTATTAACATTTCTGAATTTAGTTAGGATATTTTGCTCTAGTTGGCTAATTTATTGAATTATCTCATGCAATAAAAAGTCATGCAGCCAGGAGCTTGAATGTTGAGTGATGCCGTCTTTATCTCTCTCTCTCATTTATGAAGACTCCATGCCTATGGAAAGATAATTAATGACCCCTATCTGTTTTCCAAACTATAGAGATTTTACCTTAATCAAATTGTTTTATGTCAATACTAACCACTACTTCAACGATAATATGAACGTGTTTATTTGAAGTTGGAAGAAAAAAAAGAGACTTTGTTATAGTGGGAGTAAACCGTAAAGTGATGATGGCTAATATTCTTTTCTTAAGGTCCACACGTTAAAGCCTCTTGAGGGCTTTACAGAGCAATTGAGGAAGAAAAATGTTATAAATTACAAAGGTCCAACTGCTTCCACCGCAACGTTGAAACTGGGAATTAAATTTTTTCCAAGTCGTGGAAAATTTAATCACTTGAAGATAAGAAAGAATCCCACAGTTATAAATAATACCTATTTAAGAACTTCAAGTCCTATGATGTATACGCATTGTAGAAGAGATTATTCGCGCCATATATATATATTATATAATAAATATTTGAAAGTTCACAATGTTGGAGCTTAAAAACTTTGATAGAGACCCTTTTGTGTTGGAATTTTCTCCAGTTCCACATTCTAGTAGTCTTGTTCATGTAAAAGAGTCATAAGATAAAAACAGTTATAGAATTTGTTTAAGATCAAAGTACACAAGCCCTTTCAGACAATTCAATTCACTTTGGTCCAAATAACATGTGAGTCCAAAGTTCACCATTGATGGTGAATTAAATCTAACATCAACTAGTAATATAATATTATAATAATATATACAAGTAATAGAGAAAATTTTAATTTATGAAGTGAGGATTATTGAGATTTGGATAATGGGTTTTACACAATCAACTTCAATCCATCTTAGTGTTATGAATTCAGGTGAAAGGGAATTTGGTTCAATAATTTTGAACATTTAGTTTCATGGCCATGTCCAACGAGCTGAACGACCCCCAACAACCTTGACCCACCCTGTGGCCCAATAAACTCTCTCGCACACACACACACATGGAAGCGTGTGCATAGCAGACACTAGTTACTGAAGGTCTTTGTGACCATATAACATAGTCTTTCGTAGTAGTTGAGTGAGTAGAAACTAGAAAGATACCCTTGTCTCTGTCGTGGCAGCAACCGTACCCTAATATCAACTCACTTAAACAAACCGTTCCTAACCGATCTCTACAAAACTAAGCCAATTGCCATTTGCCATTTGCCACAACCATATAAAAGCTCTACATAGCAACTAGTTTATAGTGTGGACCAACTTATAAATAATGTTAACCTAGCTAGGAACATTGAAGGTAGTAAAAATGTAAAATTATATCTGTGACATTTTAGTAGTTTCATCGCAGGTAGTGTTAGTGTTGGCCACAAAGTTTAGTCCACCGTATCAATTTGTGGAACCCAATAATTAGCAAATTAAAATTTGTGATATGCTCCACCAAAGATTTTTCAGATGGTGAGAAATATATGTTTATTTTTGCTTTGTCCTCCGAGGCTGCTTTACATTGTGGTGTCCAATATGATAAGGTTAAACAAGAGGAAAATAATTCGAAAACAAACAAATGGGGGAGTAATGTCGTACGTCTAATTTATATACGACCCTTGCTTGTTTTACACGTAAAATAATTTTGGGAAAGAAGAATTGTCTTGTCACTACGAATTTTAAGGAGGTTTAAGCATGCCAATAAGCCAATTTCAATTAATATGACACCCATTTTGGGTTTTTTTCTGGCTATATGCTGTAATTCAAGTCCAACAAAGGTGGAGAGTGAAGAGGACATGTTCATGACGGGTTTCTTTGTATAGGGAGAGGCACTTTCCACATTCCTAGACAAGTTAGGCAAACCACAAAAGATTTTCGTGGAAAATGCTAAAGAGGGTTTCATATGGAAAGAAATTAATTGTATTTATTTATTTATTTTCAAAATTGGGCATTAAAGTAAAAGGGGGGGGAAAAGAAAACAAAAGGAGAATGAGATGGAATGTGTATTGAAAACGGTGTTTTTCAAAGATGAAGAGTTTTGATACACAATGAGCCAAATCCAGAACACCTAACGAGGAAGTGGGAAACCGCGAGCAGCCACGTGGGCTAACGAATTTCAACGGTGACGTCAGTTTTTCCATGTCATGACGTGTTGCTAGCTTCCACTTTCCCTTATAAAAAGGATTTGGATTCAGCTTCTAAAGCAATAAGAAAGCAAACCCCACAAACCCTCTTCTTCTCCCTTTGTGTCCCTAAGACACACACAACACAAGTAGACAAACACAAAGGAACAAATAAAGAGGTTATTGAGAAACATGGAGAGTAGTGACACTTGCTCTGCCCCACTTTCTCACTCTCCCACATCCTCTTCTTCCTCACCCCCCACAGTTGTGATGAGCCCTTGTGCTGCATGCAAGATTTTGAGGAGAAGATGTGCTGACAAATGTGTTTTGGCACCTTATTTCCCTCCCACTGAACCTTCCAAGTTCACCATTGCACACCGTGTATTTGGTGCCAGCAACATCATCAAGTTCCTACAGGTAATTTACGTCAAACTATGTTTAATATATAAACTTTCCTATAAATATTCATAGGAGACAAAAATAAGAAAAAGATGAATCAACCTTTTATTTCATAAACTTGTATTGTTTATGTATAAGTTAAAATTAAGTTTTTCAAATACACCTTACAGAAATTGTTGCACACAGACAGAAATCGAGTATAAATCTCTTGCTATGTAAATTATTTCCACGAGTGCCTAACTACTGCATTAAACTATCGGGTTATTCAAAATCTTAATTCTCTATTGAAAGGCCAAACTTCGTATTTAAAGATGTTTGTGCTATTTTGAGTGAAAAATTAAGAAACCAAGCAAACAGGGAATTTTGAATATGTCAATGATGTTACACATGTTTCTTCATGCATTATTCATTTTCAAAAATTATTTAGCACTGATCGATCTATAAGATCTCTTTAGAGTTCCAAGTTCCAACATAATTTTTTTGAGTCGATGATGAAAGGTGTTAGGAATCTCTCCATTATTGAGTTGCAGTTCCCTTTACCCACCGTCAAAGCATTCTCTCTCTCCACATGAACAATTTTTTTTGATCAAGTTTCCACCAAGAAATTTCTTTAAAAAAATATATATGACTCCGTACAAGGACAAATACTGAAATAGACAACACAAATGGGTAAACAGAGAGTTTTTTTTTCTCTCACAAGACTAAAAGAAATATATTATTTTATTTATATACTGAAATCACATTTTATCTTTAAAAAGAATTCTCGGCTTTGGCAGAAAAACTTGAAAAGTTAACCTTAATAGTGCATAATCATGTAAAGCTCCTGACTTTATTATTTGTTTTTCTGAAGTCAATGAGGCCCCTCTTTCCTAATTAGACAAAATGGAGTTTGGGGTTATAATGCCTCCAATAAATGCATTTTCAACCACCTAATTTTAACGAATACCTGGTGGTGGGCCTCCTAGTAGTTGTACTTAATTAACACTCCTTTATTCCAAGTCTTGGCCTTCAAAAAGATATTTCAGATGTAGAAGTAATCAACATATACCTAATCTTTTAATCAGTACGTAAATATTTTTGTCTAGTGTAAAAGTTCTACACCACTAATTAATATAAAAAATATATATCATTTATATAATTTTAAGGTAGTCATTGAAAAAATTAACAAACTTAACATAATTTCATTTATAATTAGATGATAGTATAAAAATATTATCAGAATTAAAATGAGAACGTTAAAGTTTAAATTTAAGATTTTATACATATTATTCTAATTTTTATAGTATATATATTGTTTTCTCTTTTATTATTTAAATTTTGTTGCATTTATTTTGCAGGAACTTCCAGAGTCGCAGAGAGCTGATGCAGTGACCAGCATGGTTTATGAGGCTAGTGCAAGAATAAGGGACCCTGTTTATGGCTGTGCAGGAGCAATTTGCCAGCTCCAAAAGCAGGTGAATGAACTTCAAGCACAATTAGCCAAGGCACAAGCTGAGCTTGTAAACATGCAATTTCAGCAAGCCAATCTTGTGGCTCTAATTTGCATGGAAATGGCACAGAGCCCACAACAGGAATCACCACAACAATCAGTGGATAATATTGTCATTTCAACTCCTCCCCACAGTGGTGGCTATCAAAGTGGCATGAACTTCTTAATTGAGGAGAACACTAGCCTAAACTCACTATGGGAGCCTCTTTGGACTTGAAGGAGAATCATATCAATATTAATTAAATATAGCATATAGATAGACATTCAGAAAGTGTTCCAATGATTGTCTCCTAAGGAGAAGTTGAAGGAATCAATTAGAACTAATAAAATTTAATTCATAGCTAGGATTTATCATTTATGCAATTAGGTTAATTTCTTGCATGTGGAAAAATTTGGAGGGAAGAATGTGATAATTTGGTATCTAGTATAAGAAGGTCCTACATATTCTTGTTGATCAAATTTGCTTCCTAATTAACTAGGAGATGTATTCACTTGTGATCTCTCCAACTTGAAACACCAAAAGAGCTCAGGAAAACATGATCCTAAAAGTTGTAGATGGTGTTTTACTCGTGTAGTCTTTGCAATTGAAGAGAAAGGAAAATGTTATGTTATAATAAGAGTCTTTATTTACGGTGCTATTTTGAATCTTAAACACATTTTCTACCACCTACAATATATAATCATTAAAATAAAGGCATGATGCTTCCTTGCCAAAGTAGTAGCTTTTGACCATCTCTCTCTTGGCTTTGGATTCGTTATTTGGTTCCATAATCCAAATTTTCGTGTCAATCAATAGGGAACACTACGCAACATAGAGATGGAAGACTGAACAACCACCATGTAGCTATAGCTAAACCTCAACATGATGCCTAGGCTAGCAACAAAATAAAATAAATAAATAAAAATGTTATTATTGTGATGATTAAGAGCGATCGAGTTTAACTTTTGGAACATTACATGTTGTTAGGTTGTCAAAATAATCATTTATGTTAAGAAAAAGCAAAGCATGCTCCCTTAATCGAATAAAGTCATAACCAACGAGGGGTAAACTTCGATAACATAGTCTTTTGCTTGATTTTATTTGCTCACCTATTCGTCTTTTTGGAGAATATCCATAAATTGTGGTCCAAGATGCATATCAACAATTAAAAATATATGATAAATAGAGAAAATAAAATACATAAGATTACATTCATTTTAGTTGAGTTTAGAATTTCTTTTACTTTTAATTGTGCATAACACTTCTTTCAAATTTGGTTTGGTGTAAGATAAAACAGTACAAGGGTGTAGAAAGTTTTATTAATTAGAAATTATCATACACATGATAATAATTTTGTTAGTTTTTAAATATAATGCTTTATTGATTGACGATGTAAATTTTTTTACGTTTACAATGCATAAAATTTACAATGCTTTATAATTAGATTTAATCTCTTGTATCCATATGTAATGAAATTATAATGGTAAAAAGTTTTTTTTTATTAATTTTAAAGTAATTCGTGACAACATGATTGTTTAAAAAAAAAATTAACAAACCATTGCGACTGTGAAAGACAAAGGACAAAATATCACCATATCATGTCATATATACAATTGTTTCTCCACGAATTTATTTGCACCATCTTCTAAATTTTCTTCTATTTATTTATTTTTTATTTTATAATTAAATAAATTTAGAAATTGCAAAGTATTTATCACTTCTTTGTTGCTTATAAAAATTATAAAATTCAAGTTGAATTCGCACCCATGTGCAACATTGTATTAACTAAAAGAAATGAATATTCAATTATTTGGAAATTTTAAAATTGGTATTAATTTGTTTAGTTTTTGTTAGTGGCCTAGAGTTGCCACCTTGATGTGCCGTGATAAAATAAATTATCCTTGAAATTTTAAATTAATGATAAAAAAAACGATAAGCTTAACATTTGTCTTAAGCTTGGAGTCAAACTTAGATTCTAAGTTTATGATATATGTCAAATCATTTTTACAATAAACATATTATAAGGTTAAATATATTAAATGTGAAAATGTTAAAAAGAAATACTTTGTATAAATCTTATTAACACTAGAGAAAATTCTTTTTGTTGAGAGAAACTAACAGAGAGTGAATTATATTGAGTCTGAAGAATATTGAATGCATTTAGAAATATAGAGAAGTTGAACTTATATACAATGAGAGAACTAACTAGAGTTAGTATTTTAACTCTTTCTAACTAACACTGTATCCTCTTTATCCCCCCTCAAACTTAGTGTGGATTTTCTATCTACAGTAAGTTTGTCTCTAAGATCAAGAAAGATGGTTGTACTGGGGGCCTTTGTCAACAAATCTGCAACTTGGAGCCTTGCTGGAATGTGTTTGACTATAATCTTCCCTTGAGCTACTCTCTCCCTGACAAACCATAAATCTAATTCAAAGTGTTTGGTTCTCGTATGTAAAACTGGATTGAGAGATAGGAGAACCGCCCCTTGATTATCACACCAAATTAGAGGTGGATTTTTGTTGTTGTGACCAAGTTCTGAGAGAAGATTCTGAACATATTGGATTTCTGCCACCAGACTTGCCATCTTTCTTGATCTTAGAGACAAACTTACTGTAGATAGAAAATCCACACTAAGTTTGAGGGGGGATAAAGAGGATACTAACTCTAGTTAGTTCTCTCATTGTATATAAGTTCAACTTCTCTATATTTCTAAATGCATTCAATATTCTTCAGACTCAATATAATTCACTCTCTGTTAGTTTCTCTCAACATGGTATCATGAGCTGAAGGTTCATTCTCCGGGAAACGCCATGGCTTCCGCACCAACAAAACTGTTCATTCCGCAAACCTTCTCAACTCCAATCTCATCCAAGCTCAGCGATGATAACTTCCTCACATGGAGGCAACAAGCCGAATCTACAATCAGAGGGTATCGCTTACAGAAACATATCCTTGGAGAAACTCACGTTCCCCCTCGGTACAAGACAGATGAAGAAGAAGCAAAAGGGATTCTTAGTGCAGAATATGAAAACTTTGATCAACAAGACAATTTGCTCAAATCTTGGTTATTGGAAAGCATGGAGCCTCAATTCAAGGTAAGAATGGTTGGATACGAGTGGTGCCATCAAATGTGGAGAAATCTGGAAACATACTTTGCTTCTCAAACCAAGGCCCGTGTTAAGCAACTCAAGATTCAACTCAGAGGCATCAAGAAAACCACTGCCATCAATCAATACCTTCTTGAAATCAAGAAGATTGTAGACACCTTGGCAGCAATTGGGTCACCTCTCGATACAACCGAACACATTGATGCAATCTTTGATGGACTGCCTGAAGAATATGATCCATTCGTGACCTCTGTCCTTACAAGAACTGAAGACTACACTGTTGAACAAATTGAAGCGCTTCTGATGGCTCACGAAGAAAGATTGGAAAAACACAAACGTAGTGACAGTGCAAGCCCCCAAGTCAACCTCGCCCAAGGAAACCTTCATGCAAGAAAACAGTACACCAATCAAGGTAGAGGTTTTAATAATAATATCAATGGAAGAAACTCTCAAAGAGGCAGAGGCCGGGGAAGAACGAATCAGACTTATGGAAGAGGTAATAGGCAACAGTGTCAAGTCTGTGGAAAGATGGGTCATATAGCATTTCACTGCTGGCACAGGTATGATCAGCAATTCACTGAACCTAATTTCAATAATACCACTAATGCTTACAGCTCAGGGAATTCGCAACAACTCCAAGCCATGTATGCGGGCTCTCAAAATATAGCATATGATGATCAATGGTATCCAGATTCTGGAGCCACTAATCACCTTACACCAGATTTGAGTAATCTTGGCTCAAAATCTGATTATACGGGTCAAGAAAAGATTACTGTGGGAAATGGACAAGCAATTGGAATTAATCATACAGGTACATCATATTTTCTTACTCCTATGTCATCCAGAATTTTTACTTTAAAGGATCTTTTACATGTCCCTCAAGTAACCAAAAATCTGCTAAGTGTATCTAAGTTTTGTAGAGATAATAAGGTTTACATTGAATTTCACACCCATTATTGTCTTGTTAAATCTCAGGATTCGAAGGAAATTCTTCTACGAGGGAACCTTAAAAATGGCTTATATGTTTTTTGATGAAGTGCAAATCATGAAATCTGATACTCATAAGCATACTGCTGTTCATGACCCTACTGTTTTGAATGTTCAAAGGTCTAAGACCTCTTATGATGTATGGCACAATAGACTCGCTCATGCCTCTATGAAAATTGTAAAAACTGTAATGAACACTTGTAATGTTCCTTTGCCTGTTAGCAATAAAGATATTTCGGTTTGTAAGAACTGTTGCATTGGAAAGTCTCATGCTCTTCCCTTTTCTGATTCTTCCACTGTATATAGTTCCCCACTAGAGCTTGTCTACAGTGATGTTTGGGGTCCCTCACATTACGCATCTAGAGAGGGATTTAGATATTATGTTCATTTTACTGATGCTTATTCAAAATACACATGGATATATTTCATGCATAATAAATCCGAGACTGCTTATCATTTTCATCACTTTAAAAATATGGTTGAAAATCAATTTCGCACTCATATTAAAATGTTTCAATCTGATGGAGGAAAAGAATTTATGCGTCTTACAAAAGTTTTCAATGAAAGTGGCATTCTTCATAGACTAAGCTGTCCTCATACTCATCAGCAAAACGGTTCAGCTGAGAGGAAACATAGACACATTACTGAGATTGGCTTAACTCTCTTAGCTTCGTCTGGCTTGCTGCACGAATTCTGGGCTGATGCTTTTAGCACTGCCCTGCATGTAATAAACAGACTTCCTACTCCTATTCTTGGACAAAAGTCTCCATATGAAATGTTATTCAAGAAAATACCAAATTATTTCTTGTTAAAACCCTTTGGATGTGCTTGCTATCCTCATTTAAGACCTTTTAACAGTCATAAAATGGACTTTAGATCCTCTCAGTGTCTCTTTATTGGATATAGCATGCACTATAAAGGATATAAATGTCTTACCAATAATGGCAAAATTATCATGTCCAGGAATGTGATCTTTGATGAAGACACATTCCCTGGTGCCTTGTTTTTCTCCACTAACAAAACTGCAGGAATTTACACGCCCACATCATCTCATACAGTACCAAGTATTCCAGTTTTGCAGCCCACATCACTGGTTCCATCTACCTCTTCCAACACCAGTTCCCTCTTGGCTCCACCCACTTCCAATATTGATCACTTGAATGCAGATTCTGGCACAACTCTTCCTCCTTTATCATCAGACCTGGCAGGAGTACCAGACAACACACAAACTGATATACGCTCAACCAATCAAGCTTTGGAAAATCAACATCCTATGGTCACCCGAGCAAAAGCTGGTATCTTCAAGCCCAAAGCCTACCTTGCTACGTATGAACCCACAACTGTAGCTCAAGCTTTGGAACACAAGCATTGGAAACAAGCTATGCAAGCTGAATATGATGCATTGATGAAGAATTGCACTTGGGAATTAGTTCCTTTACCACCCGACAGGAAAGCTATAACGTGTAAATGGATATTCAAGAATAAGTATAAACAAGATGGTTCAATCCTTAGACACAAGGCTCGACTAGTGGCTAGAGGGTTTAATCAACAACCGGGGTTAGA